TGAACTGTTTTTTTTGTAATATCTCTTTCATTTGATTGATAGATGAAAAGGGACGATTCTTTATTATCATCTTGTTTTATTCAAAGTAAACTTTATTACTCAAACTGTTTTGCTTAGGGTCTAATAAAGACAATTTTCATATCACAAAACATGTTTTTGACTAAATATCAAAATCAAAGTCACAATTAAAGATGGTCAGTCAGGCCAAATGGCAATAAGAACATAGCATAGAAAAATCTGCTGTGAACTTTATCAACATGTTTGGACTCTACATTAGTTGGACCAGCTAAGCAGTTTAAATACGTATTTAACAAAATACCTGCATCAGTTTAGCTGCTCAAACCGCCTCACACATGCAACTGAAATGGTTTTGTTGTTTCCAATAAGGACATGGGAAAATGTCCATTTCAATAAAGATGTTCATCCGATTGCAACAAGCTGCATCCTCTCTCTGCTCCATAACCTGTTTATGTGTTTGAGAAGGACCTGGATCAACATCTTCACAGCATGCATAGCTGTTTTTCAATTTTTTTGTGTATAATGATTGTTATAAAAAAATGTGTTGCTTTCAAACTAGCCGCCTACATAAAGTTCAGCGTTGATAACACCATCCCCACCAGAACAGTGACATTTCCAATTAATAAACCATGGATCACAAGTGATCTAAAGGAACTGCTTAGCAAGAATAAACAAGCCTTCAGGGAGAGAGACAGGGAATTATCAGGGAGTATACAGAAGCAACTTAAGGTCAAGATAAGCGAAAGTAAGAAGGCATTCAAGAAAAACCTGGAAAGAAAGCTCCAGCAGAACAATATCAGCTATATGTGGTCAGGGATGATGAAGATCACAGGCTTTGAGCAGAAGGAGGATCAGACAGATGGAAGTTTGGACGGAGCAAATGAACTGAACACCTTCCTCAACAGGTTCTGTTCAGAAACAAGCTCAGCATCGTTCTCTCCTGCCAGCTAAACTGAATAGCAATAGGATGTTAAATCTTAATCTACATGTTTAAGCAGGAGACAGAATATCTTTAGTAGAACCCTGTATTTATCTTAACTGCTAAAACTTCTGGTTTTATATATTTATTTGGAAAACCACATATAAATTAACAAATAAAAAGGTTGCTATGGCTGAAAAGGTTATTTAGATTCTTATTTATATTTTGAATATTTTTGTACTTTAATGATTGAAGCATCAGAAGTTTTAAACAACGGGATTTTTAGATGTTTTATTAGATTTTATCCAAATATTAATCAGATGTTATGATTGAAACATTGTTAGTTGTTAGTGAACCAATTTTCATTCCTCAAATGGTTGGCTTTTTTGTACTTTTACTTTAGTAAAACTATGCTATAGTGGTGCTACTCTTACTGAAGTGCAATGTTTGGGTACTCTTCATACCTCTGAATGATATATAATTAATTACTCAACAGATCAGATTCTAACAGAGTTAAGTAGTTACTAATTACTGTGACTAAGTTACATTTCCTTCAGCAGTATTTTAAAGAGACAAAATATTTCTAGGAGAGGTTTTTCTGCACCATAGTTCTGTTAATTTGAGTAATATTTTTTATAAAGTATCTCTACTACTACTTGAGTCAAATGTCTGCCTACTCTGTCCACTGTCTGTAACTGAGGTATTCACAGATCAATTAAAAATACAATAAACAGTAGATTTTTTTCAGTGGAAGCTCTCTTCCCTGTCCTAATATATATACAATACTCACTGTGAGGATTTATATTTTGAGTTTTAGGTTAATAATATCAGTCTGGGAGAGTATTTCTTCATTTTCCTTCTGAAAACATGCCCTTGCTGGTATTTTTTATGGAATTTAAAATTTTAAATTACCAGAAATTAAAAAATAAGTCTGACTGAATCATTTCTAAACATTAAATACAAGTACTCTGAAACTTCAAAAGCTTTTTGCAGAATACTTTGTAAACATTTTTTCCCTTAGATTAATTAATTTTACTTTTATTCATTAAATGTTGAAGGAGAAATACTTGAGTACAATTTTTGGTTCTCTAATTACCTCTGGCTTCAATAAGAGGCTATTCACTGCCCCCTAGCGGTAAAATAAGGTTTTGCTTTCAACATGATAATTTCTCTGGAAAAACTAAACCCATTTTCTCTGCTCAGTTTCCTGAAGCTGGTTTTTATTTGGACTCATTTAATGAAAATGATCGTTTATTGATGTCCTGATGATGAGACTCTGCACACCTGATGTGACCCATGCTTCTTCCAGACTGATACATTTATTTAATTATTACAGGAGAGAATGAACAAAGCTCCGGTTTTCAGGTAAATTTCTTCATTCTGTTGAATCAACAAGCTGATATTGTTAATAGAATATTTGCTCCATGGTTTCTGCTCTGTCAACTTGGTCTGATGTTCTGATTTTATCGCTATTTTCTGTAACTTTCTGACATTTTCTCGAACGGACCAGAGGCTGGTAGAAAGTTCCAGCGGTGACGTCACGGCGCATTGTTCCTTGCTGCGCTCTGATTGGACGAACTCTGGAGAAGCAGCTAGAAGTGAGTGAAAGGCTTTAAATAGCTGTGAGGCTGAGGCAGTTAGAGACAAACAGACCTTCAGAGGACTTCAGGAGAGCTCCACAAGAGAAGAAGAACCTAGAAGCTTTTCTGCAGAGGAATCACTGAACTACAGTAAGTTCTCATTTCATCATCTGCTGCTTCACACTTTTCTTCTTTGTTTTAACAGCAGTAACTAAATGAATGATCTAATTATTTAATAAAAAGATAGAAACAGACTTTTTAGAATGTAGATAAAGAGAGATGAACAGATTTCTAGAACTAAATGTTCTAGTAAACATCTCTGAGGCTCTTTATTCAGCATTACAACACCTGTTTTATTCTGGAAATAAGTGTTATAAAGTGATGGAATAATGTGAGATTTAAATTGTTTGGTATGAAGATCAAAATATCTCCTATTCACTTTATACCTCTGTCTCTTTCCTTGTTCCTTTGCTTTTTTAGGACTGAAAGAAAACTGAGCCAAGATGTCTAAAAACACAGCCATCGGCATCGACCTGGGCACCACATACTCCTGTGTGGGGGTGTTCCAGCATGGAAAAGTAGAAATCATTGCCAATGACCAGGGCAACAGGACCACCCCCAGCTATGTGGCCTTCACTGACACTGAGAGGCTGATCGGGGACGTGGCCAAGAACCAGGTGGCTCTGAACCCAAGCAACACAGTGTTTGACGCCAAGAGGCTGATTGGAAGAAAGTTTGATGATGCGGTTGTCCAGGCTGATATGAAGCACTGGCCCTTTAAGGTGTTTTCAGAAGGAGGAAGGCCCAAAATCCAAGTGGAGTACAAAGGGGAGAACAAAGCATTCTTTCCAGAGGAGATCTCCTCCATGGTCCTGGTGAAGATGAAGGAGATTGCAGAAGCCTACCTTGGCCACAAGGTGTCCAATGCCGTCATCACAGTCCCCGCCTACTTCAACGACTCCCAGCGACAGGCCACTAAAGACGCAGGCGTCATTGCGGGACTCAACGTCCTGAGAATCATCAACGAGCCCACGGCGGCCGCCATCGCGTACGGTCTGGATAAAGGCAAGTCAGGAGAGAGAAACGTCCTGATCTTCGACCTGGGCGGAGGCACCTTCGACGTGTCCATCCTCACCATCGAGGACGGCATCTTTGAGGTGAAGGCCACGGCCGGAGACACCCACCTGGGAGGAGAGGACTTTGACAACCGCATGGTCAACCACTTTGTGGAGGAGTTCAAGAGGAAACACAAGAAGGACATCAGCCAGAACAAGAGAGCCTTGAGGAGGCTGCGCACAGCTTGTGAGAGAGCCAAGAGGACACTGTCCTCCAGCTCCCAGGCCAGCATCGAGATCGACTCTCTGTTTGAGGGCATTGACTTCTACACCTCCATCACCAGAGCTCGCTTTGAGGAGCTGTGCTCCGACCTGTTCAGGGGAACCTTGGAGCCCGTGGAGAAAGCTCTGAGGGACGCCAAGATGGACAAGGGCCAGATCCACGATGTGGTCCTGGTTGGAGGCTCCACCCGAATCCCCAAGATCCAGAAACTGCTGCAGGACTTTTTCAACGGCCGAGAGCTGAACAAGAGCATCAACCCGGACGAGGCGGTGGCTTACGGCGCCGCCGTCCAGGCTGCCATCTTGATGGGAGACACTTCTGGGAACGTTCAGGACCTGCTGCTGCTGGACGTGGCTCCTCTGTCCCTGGGGATCGAGACGGCGGGAGGAGTGATGACGGCCCTGATCAAACGGAACACCACCATCCCCACCAAACAGACTCAAGTGTTCAGCACCTACTCTGACAACCAGCCCGGGGTCCTGATCCAGGTCTACGAAGGGGAGAGAGCCATGACCAAGGACAACAACCTGCTAGGAAGGTTTGAGCTGACGGGAATCCCACCCGCTCCAAGAGGCGTTCCGCAGATTGAAGTGACCTTTGACATCGACGCCAACGGCATTCTGAATGTGTCTGCGGTGGACAAGAGCACTGGCAAAGAGAACAAGATCACCATCACCAACGATAAGGGCCGACTGAGCAAAGAGGAGATCGAGAGGATGGTGCAGGACGCTGAGAAGTACAAAGCTGAGGATGAGCTGCAGAGAGACAAAATAGCTGCCAAGAACTCCTTGGAGTCCTACGCTTTCAGCATGAAGAGCAGCGTGGAGGACGAGAGCTTGAAGGGCAAAATCAGCCAGGAGGACAAGAAGAAGGTGATAGACAAGTGTAAAGAGACCATCAGCTGGCTGGAGAACAACCAGTTGGCCGACAAAGACGAGTACCAACACCAGCAGAGAGAGCTGGAGAAGGTCTGCAATAGGGGTGTGCAAAATAATCGTCATGATGATGAATCGTGATTCTAATTTTCATGATCTACTGCATCGATTCTTGACGCCAAGAATCGATTATTAATTAAAAAAAATGAATAAATAAAATTGCATGAATGGTTGGTGAACATCAGCCAAAAACAAGTGTAATACAATTTCCAGTCCAGTAGATGTCGCTGTTGACGCACGCTGCCTTGTGTCGCAACCATTTCCGTCCGCGGGATAATGCGCTGAGTCATTCAAAAACAAAACATGGAGCAGATTGAGGAACTTCGTCCGGCTCCATCACATTTCAAATCCGATGTTTGGAAGCATTTTGGATTTAAAAACAAAGGTAAAAATGAAGCCGATATGACCCACGCAATTTGCAAACACTGCTACACCAACATTAAATAATGTGGGAACACAACGAACCTAAAATCACACATGCAGAGGCGCCATCCAGAAAATCAAGAGCCGCCAGCGCCGCAAAATGTGCTTAAACAAACAACGTTTGATTGCAAACTAGCCCCAACATCTACACGTGCAAAGAAGATTACAGAGTCCATCACCAAGTTCATTTGCCAGGATTTGCGACCATATAGTGTGGTGGAGAACCGTGGGTTCAAAAAAATGATCAGCACACTGGAGCCTCGTTATATAATCCCGAGCCGGAAACAGTTCACTGAAGTATTGGTCCCACGGATGTATGATGAGGTGAAACTACAGGTAAAAAAATCCCTGGACTCCGCCGAATGCGTTGCTCTAACGTGCGATGGGTGGACTTCACGAGCCACCGAGTCATACATCACGATTACATCTCACCACATAAACGATAGCTGGGAATTAGTTTCCCATGTATTACAAACCAGAGCTTTGTTCGAGTCTCACACCGGTACCAACATCGCACAGGTGCTTAGAGCAGCACTCGAAGAATGGGATCTGACCGACAAAGACCCTGCAATAGTGACGGACAACGCGTCGAACATGAACATTGCTGCTCAGCTGGCCAATGTGCTACGTTTCAGGTGTTTTGCTCATACACTAAATTTGGCATCCCAGCGTGCCCTGAAACTTCCCGCTGTCACTAGATTGCTAGTGAGAGTAAGACGGGTGACAACTTTTTTCAGACGCAGCACTGTTGCGTTCCATGTACTGCGTGAGAAGCAAGCTTTGTTGAACCTCCCTCTCCACAAATTGATAACCGATGTTGCTACCCGCTGGAACAGCGCACACGATATGCTGGAGCGCTTTTTAGAGCAACAGCCTGCCATCCACGCTGCGCTCCTGTCTACCGAAGTACGGAAGTCTGAGAAGGAAATCTGCACACTCACCGATTCTGACATAACAACTGCAGAGGAGGTTGTCGCTGCAATGAAACCTATGAAAGTGGCTACACTCGCCGTATCAGAGGAGGCCAGTCCAACGCTATCGATTGTAGCGCCACTCCATGCCCAACTCATCCATGAGCTCCAAGACAAACCGAGTGATTCCACCTTGACAAGGGAGCTAAAAACCGCAATGTACCAGGATCTTAACAAGAGATACTTAAACGAAAAGGAAGCTCTGTATAAAGCATCGGCTCTTGATCCCCGTTTTAAGGCCTTGCCTTTCCTTTCCGAGGATGAGAGGGAAGATGTCTACAATGGAATAACTGCAGAAGCTACCAGGACCAAGTGGGCATTACAGGTAATATTAACATCAATACAGTTGGAATTTACTATAGAAATATAAAATATAAACATATATATTCAGTTTAAAAAGCATAAATAAGTAAGAAATACATATTTATAACTCAATTCATGAATAAGTAAATCCATCATAGATAAATGCAGATGTCATTGATAATGTGTTGTGCAAAATAAAATAATTGATAATTCTGAAGATTGTGTTGATTTAGTGTTTTCTAGCAAAGCACAAGTGGACTTCAGTCAGACTCAATGGACGTGGACAACGGCAGCCCAAACCCTAAACAAGAAGACATGTCTGCTGCATCTTCATCAAAAACATCCAAACGTTGTTCTCTAGCGGACCTACTTGGACAGGCGTATGGAGCTGGAGCAGCGGGTTAGTTTAAAAATATGCTTTTTTTTTTTTTTATTTAAAAAAATAAATAAAAATATGCTAAAAATCAAAACATGCTGAAAGAAATATTCTTAGTGAGTGTTTCCTAATTTAAGGATGCCCCACAAACTATATATGCATAATATGGTATTTAATTATAGTGTAATGTAACAAATAACATGATGATGATGATTTAATGTTCTGAGTAATATAGTGTATATATCTTATATATATATATTTTTTTTATTTTATTTTGATTATTATCTTGTCCTCCCATACTGCAGGTCCTGCAAAGAAACTAAAAACTGCTGAAGACCAGGCAAAAGACGAAATGGCAAGATACAAGGAGGAAGCATCCCTAGCCCTTAGTGATAATCCGCTTGGCTGGTGGAAAGAACATGAGAGCCAGTATCCTTTTCTGTCTCGAGTAGCTAAAAAACACCTGAGCATTCCAGGTACTAGTGTCCCCTCGGAGAGAGTTTTCTCTACTGCAGGGGACATTATCACTGCCAAAAGGAGTGTAATTTCCCCTGAGCACCTTGACCAGCTTCTGTTCCTAAACAAAAACATTAAGCACTAATAATGGTATTGTAGCTGTTGCCTTTGTACTTATTACTAGTTCAACACTTGTTCATTTGTTTTTTGAGTGGACACTGGGCACATGCAGTTAATGCATTTCACTGCAAGGGATGTTTGCAATATATATTTTAATTTTTGATAGTTTTTTTAAAGCCTATGCACTTTTTTGTCTCAGTTTGTTCTCTTGTGTTTATGAAATGATATTGTTATGATGGCAGCTACTTCCAAAATGTTTTCATTTTATTGAGTTAAAGGACCACTGAGGCCATGATAATCCTTATTTTGTTATTTTTAGTTTTATAAATCCTAAGCACTTTTTGTCAATGTGTCCACTACAACAACAGTAATATTTGTGTCCAGTTACAGTCATATTTGTTTTCATGGCAACACCTCCAAAAGTGATTTTAATAAATACAGTTATGGATGAATGCAGTTGCTTTCAGTTATTTATCAATTGGAAGACACTACCCAGATCATACTCAGCCAGTCAGCCACTTGTAATGGCTGTATTTTTTTCTAACAGTGTTCAGTGAAAATATTGCAATGCATCGCAATATTTCAAGTATCGTGATGCATCGTGATATAATCGCATTGTGGCATGTGAATCGTGATTCGAATCGAATCGTGACTTCTTTGGCAATACCCACCCCTAGTCTGCAACCCCATCATCAGCAAGCTGTATCAGGGAGGGATGCCCACTGGTACCTGTAGACAGGAGGCAGGAGCCCACAACCAGGGGCCCACTATTGAAGAGGTGGACTGAAGGAGCCCTTCATGTGGACTCATCTCCTGGACTGTTTACAGGTTCTACTGGAGCTGTCAGAACCTTGGACTCTTTTCAGACTAAACACATGGTTGTTTCCATGTCCTCCTGGTACATACCTCAGCTCTGTTTAAGGTTGTCTAACTTAAATTGTTTATAAATAAAACCTCTCATGGAAAGAATGGTGCGACTTTTTTAACATTGAAGTATTTTGATGTTTTTAAATATTCAACATTTGAATGTTTTCATCTGTAAAATGCTGGACATTAATAAAGATGAAAAAAGAAAGTATGAGACTCTGGTCTGTTAATTGCTGTAAAACCTTTGTAATACTGCCAAATGTATTCTCAATCATAATCTACATAATGAGTGATTTTTTTTTTTATTATAGGCACGTAATCTCTCATAAAACATGGATTATTACTAGTTTCATCTCATAAGCTTCACCAACAATATGGAGCAATAGCAAACCTAAAATAAGATCCTTAGTGGTTGATTTTTCTGGTATTTCATTGATCAAAGTTAGATATATAAAAACTGTTTCATAATTTTTGATCTTTAGACTCTCTGAACACCTTTGAGATGATTTTGTCTAAGATCAGGTGAACATAATGTACAGCAGAGGAGATTATTTAAGGTCATGGCAGATATGAAGTTAGAAGTAATACAGGGTTTATACAGGGTGGTAAAAGGTAAATAATGGCGGTAAACTGAATTAACTCAAATTAAGGCCACAGAAAGATAGTAAAAGGTAAAAAACAGAACTTGACTTGATAGTATTTTTTTATTTTTCACCCGTATATATATATTCAGTCTTTTGTTCCAAGTTAATTGAATCTGTATAGAAGTAATATTCATATACGGCTGGACCTGAGCTGACATCTATTGATTCAGTTAGTTCTGTTAGCTGTTTTTTTTTTTTTTTTTGCACTATCCGTGGAGGAACTGTCTTACATGTTAAAGCAAGGGTCATATTGAACCTCACCACAGGAAAATGTACGTTTTTACAACTTTGAGTCACTGTAAAATGTAGTAGGTTGAGCTGAAGTGATTCGAGAAAACTCAAACATCTAAGACTATCTACTCATTAAAATTTAACTTAACACCAGTTAGATTCCTAGATTTAACTGTATGTTTTGATCTATAAATCAATTGGACTTTAAATACAGAATCTCTTTGTCATAAGTGGAAGATTCACTTGTTTTTCTGTATTATATTATAAATCAATGGTTAAAGGAATAGTACACCCAAAACATGATTAGCCTTCATTTTCTACTCACCCCCATGCTGAACAACACTCTGGAGTACTTTTTTGACATCTCAAATGCATCTGGAGATCTGGGAGGCTTCTTGCTGTCTGCTGACATTCAAATAATGGAGGTCTATTGTGCCCGAGACAGAAAGGTCCATAAAAGTCCACAAAAAACGTGTCAATATTCCTCCATACTGCTCGTCCAATGTATTCCAAGTGTCCTGAGTGGGTAGCATCCAGAATTTACTCGAAACGAAGTCATTTAGAATGTTTTTAGAGCATAAACAGTAGTGTATAGGATTTCCTGAAAGCGCGCCAGTGCGTTCACGACGCTACGGAAACCGCGGCAGACCAAGCCAGATGAAAGTGCGCATTCAGCTCGGCAAAGAACTCATGCTCTTCCTCAACACTGAAGTCCTCAGACATTTTTCTTTCGTTGTTTCTTTCTTTGCACAGGTAAACAGCACATTTCTTCTTCTACGCTTGCATTATCGGCAGAGCAGACGCTGAATGCGCACTTTCATCTGGTTTGGTCTGCCGGCTTCCGTAGCGTCATGAACGCGCCGGCGCGCGCTTTCAGGAAATCCTATACACTACTGTTTATGCTCTAAAAACATTCTAAATGACTTCGTTTCAAGTAAATTCTGGATGCTACCCACTCAGGACACTTGGAATACATTGGAAGAGCAGTATGGAGGAATATTGACACGTTTTTTGTGGACTTTTATGGACCTTTCTGACTCGGGCACCATAGACCTCCATTATTTGAATGTCAGCAGACAGCAAGAAGCCTCCCAGATCTCCAGATGCATTTGAGATATCAAAAAAGTACTCCAGAGTGTTGTTCAGCATGGGGGTGAGTAGAAAATGAGGGCTAATCATGTTTTGGGTGTACTATTCCTTTAAGTGTTAACATTCTTCCTCATGGTGGTGATGAGCCAGAATTCAAAGACTTAATTTAGCAGATTATGTATTATGATCTAGGCTTTTTCCAAAGTGTACAGAAAAACAATAAATGTTACCATGAACAGTGATAGGAAATCTCTCTGAGTGCAACTGCAACACAGGCGGTCGGCCTTAATGACACCAACTTCAGCTCTCAGAGCTGAGGTTCTGTGGTACCTGAGCAAGAATCACTCGCAATCCTCAAGTGATCAGGGAGCTTTTTCAAAACATTTTCACACACTCTGAAAAGCCAAAAATGTTCTTTCAGGAGGTCTTAGTCAAGACATATGCTGGATTTTTTTATTGATAGTCAAACTGTTGTAGATTTGTTAAAATGGATGGTAAAAGGTAGTTAACTTAACAGTGGGATTGCTGTATTAACCTTGTAAAAGTTTATCCAGAGATAACCCTGATCTGAAACACGTTGGAGTGAAAACAGAACCTACTCTGGCCGCTAGAGGGCAGTGAAAAGCCTCTCAGTGAAACCAGAGGTGGGTAGAGAACCAAAATGGACACAAGTAAAAGTAGTTCTACTTCAACATTTAATTATTAAAAATAAAAATTATTCATCTAGGAAACACTTGGCACAAAAATTGTATTTTACATTATGTCAGAATAAAACATTCCTGCAAAAAACTACTTTTTCCAAATATATATAGTTTGAACATTAAACTAATCAAATCAATCATCACAGTTATAATTGGATGTAAGGACAGCGAAGAGCAACAATATCTATCATTTAGTGTATTTTTGCCTGATCTCTGCGTAGCTCAGCTACTGACAGTGATAGGATAGGCTGACATTTGAGCCAAACAGAAGTAGAAATACTTTATAAAAACATTATTCAAATTAATGGAAGAAGTGTGCTGCAGTAAAACCTCTCCTAGCAGTACTTTCTTTTCAGAATACAACTGAAATAAACATAACCAAGTCAAAGTAATTAATTATATATTTTCCCTAAAATTTTACTCTGAATTTGCATTCCTGTTTCTTTTTCATATACCTTGAACATCCCCTTGTTTTCCAGAGAAAGAGCAGGTGTGTTGGCCTACAGCTTAAAAATGATATGGGGGGGAAAACTTACAGAACACATTCGCTGACAGAACATCCACTCCTAGAGCTATGGAGGGAATTTTGCTCCATTTTTGTTGCAAACAAAAGAACAAGATTTGTAAATGAAAATAGAAAAAAAAAATCCAGAAATAAAATGTGGAAAATAAATAATTTTCCCCAAAAAATATATATATATATTTTGTGGTCCTAACAGTCGTTCAATAAGCTTGTTACCAGATTTAAGTAAATAGAAAAGGATACTCCACATGTACAGCATAAACACAAATGACCTATGATTGGTACAGAGAATTGGACCGTCAAAAGATATGTGGAGTAGTCCTATTAGACTTTTCAGCCGCATTCGATGTGATTGATCATACACTGCTTCTTGAAAACCTTCTGCTGTATGGTTTTAAACCATAAATTGATGAAGAATTATTTATCAGATAGGTCACAGAGTGTTTATTTCAATGGTAGTTTTTCAAAGAAGGTGTCAGTAAACTGTGGAATTCCACAAAGATGCTACATGCTGAACTAGCTGCCACAACTTCATGGAAAAAAAAGTTAAGAATTTTTCAGGTAACATTTTTGTAATTACCATAGTAAAAAAGCAAAATAAACCTTCCAGATGATCTCCCAATTAGTTCTTTCATTGATGATTACTAGCTCTGCTGATAACCTAGCCTAGGTCACCAAATTGGTGGGGATACCTGGATTCATTATCCTGCATAAAATGAATAAATGATTAACTAGAACTGGAGTCATAGTTAATTATTTAACTTATTCAAAAATAAGAGGTGAACTCAAATTAGTGTTCTTAGTTGAATAATTGTAGCTCTAATTTTCTTACATACCAGGGTTTATGCCTTTCACCTCTGGATAGCTCCTCGTCCGGCTGTTAAAATCCAGGTATCCACACCAATTTAGTGACTCAGGCGAGGTTATCAGCAGATCTATTAATTATCAATCAAAGAACTATTTGTCTCTATTCACACTATTACCAAAAGAGGGTGGATCTGGCCTGAGTGATAAACCATCCGTATATGAATCACAACCATTGAAAGTTAAACAATGACATCTTTATTCTAATAATTCAGGATTACAGAAATCTAACATCTATGCAAACACTACACGCTATTAGAAAATTAATACTAGAAATCCCAGAGATACGAGAATTTTCGTCAGCCTCCAGTCCCCCAAAAGTACTTCACAACTCATCAGAGATGGGAAGTAACGAAGTACAAATACTTCGTTACTGTACTCAAGTAGATTTTTCTGATATTTTTACTTTACTTTACTACTTATTTTTATGGCGACTTTTTACTTCTACTCCTTACATTTTTACACAAATATCTGTACTTTCTACTCCTTACATTTTAAAAAATTGGCTCGTTACTTTAGTTTTCAATCATTTCAATGGAGTTACTGTTATTATTTTTCACGTCATCAATACTGTGAAAACGGAGCAGTTTTCCCCCTCTGTTCCCAAAGTGTAGCCGCCGTCTATCACACACAGCGTCACATCCTTCACTACATTTCCCAGCATGCACCACAGACCGGCCGTCATGGCGGTAATTCT